AAAACACCATAAGTGTCCGGGGCCCAAAACTGTTCAACAGCCTCCCATCAAGCATTAGGGGAATTGCCAATAAACCCCTGGCTGCCTTCAAGAGAGAGCTGGACAGATACCTAAAGTCAGTACCGGATCAGCCGGGCTGTGGCTCGTACGTCGGACTGCGTGCGGCCAGCAGTAACAGCCTAGTTGATCAGGACCTGATCCATCGGGAGGCCTGGTCATGGACCGGGCCGCGGGGGCGTTGATCCCCGGAATAACCTCCAGGTATCCAATGAAATCAAAGTAGTTCGGCCCAAAGCAAAATTTTTGGACGTTTCACTCTCTGTAGGATTAATGATCTTTTATATCTGCCTTATGAGCATGTAAGATGGCAGGTTATCTTAGATTTGTACTTACATTTAGTACACAACTTAAAATCTTTTTCTAGTGTTTCTTAGTAGGTTTTATTGAGTTTAGACCCTAGCTTACACGTTATATTATGTACACTGTAAGCCTGTTGTCTTTATCACAGCAACAATTGTTTCTTGTGCAAAACTATTTTGGGAATAGAATGATTTCTTGTATAGTTAACATTCGTGCAACTTATTATAAGCTGATTCTCTCCCATTAATGTTCATGCAAACAACTCGGTTCACCTTATTCCTATTGTATCTCCTCTTACTGCAACTGATTTCCACACAGTCGAGTTACTTAGCTTATGACTGATTTCTACTGTATCTTACAGCTAGGTTTTAAATAAGATATTACAAGGACCCCAGTGGAAATAAGTCACTTTGACTTTTTTGAGTTATCCTAAGTAATTTACACATGTTAAAATTTATGATGATTGGACTTGTGTGTACCTGTACCTAAATAAACTTATGCAATGCGCCAGGCCAGTTGCAGCAGCGTAACACTCACCGAACATAAGCAAAAGCGTGCTATGACATAACTGCTGACGGAGTAAGGTGTGTGTGTGTGTGTGTGTGTGTGTTAGTTACCATTTTGTCCTAGGCACATGTCGATGTGTGTGTGTGTGTGTGTGTGTGTGTGTGTGTGTGTGTGTGTGTGTGTGTATGTGTGTGCACTCACCTAGTTGAGATTGCAGGGGTCGAGTCCAAGCTCCTGTGTGTGTGTGTGTGTGTACTCACCTATTTGTACTCACCTATTTGTGGTTGCAGGGGTCGAGTCTTAGCTCCTGGCCCCGCCTCTTCACCGGTTGCTACTGGGCCCTCTCTCTCCCCGCTCCATGAGCTTTATCAAACCTCGTCTTAAAACTGTGTATGGTTCCTGCCTCCACTACGTCATTTTCTAGGCTATTCCACTGCCTTACAACTCTATGACTGAAGAAATACTTCCTACTATCTCTCTGACTCATTTGTATCTTCAACTTCCAATTGTGGCCTCTTGTTTCTGTGTCCCCTCCCTGGAACATCCTGTCTTTGTCCACCTTGTCTATTCCACGCAGTATTTTATATGTCGTTATCATGTCTTCCCTGACCCTCCTGTCCTCCAGTGTCGTCAGGCCGATTTCCCTTAATCTTTCTTCATAGGACATTCCCTTAGCTCTGGAACTAACCTTGTCGCAAACCTTTGTACTTTCTCTAGTTTCTTGACGTGCTTTATCAAGTGCGGGTTCCAAACAGGTGCTGCATACTCCAGTATGGGCTGACATACACGGTGTACAGTGTCTTGAATGATTCCTTACTAAGGTATCGGAATGCTGTTCTCAGGTTTGCCAGGCGCCCATGTGCTGCAGCAGTTATCTGATTGATGTGTGCTTCCGGAGACATGCTCGGTGTTATACTCACCCCAAGATCTTTCTCCTTGAGTGAGGTTTGCAGTCTTTGGCCACCTAGCCTATACTCTGTCTGTGGTCTTCTGTGCCCTTCCCTTCTTCATGACTTTGCATTTGGCAGGATTAAATTCGAGAAGCCATTTGCTGGACCAGGTGTCCAGTCTGTCCAGGTCTCTTTGAAGTCCTGCCTGGTCCTCATCAGATTTAATTCTCCTCATTAACTTCACATCATCTGCAAACAGGGACACTTCTGAGTCTAACCCTTCCATCATGTCGTTCACATATACCAAAAATAGCACTGGTCCTAGGACCGACCCCTGTGGGACCCCGCTCGTCACAGGTGCCCACTGTGATACATCATTACGTACCATGACTCGTTGTTGCCTCCCTGTCAGGTATTCTCTGATCCATTGCAGTGCCCTTCCTGTCATATGCGCCTGATGCTTTAGCTTCTGCACTAATCTCTTGTGAGGAACTGTGTCAAAGGCCTTCTTGCAGTCCAAGAAGATGCAATCAACCCACCCCTCTCTCTCGTGTCTTACTTCTGTTATTTTATCATAAAACTCCAGAAGGTTTGTGACACAGGATTTGCCTTCCGTGAATCCGTGCTGGTTGGCATTTATACTCTTGTTCCGTTCCAGGTGCTCCACCACTCTCCTCCTGATAATCTTCTCCATAATTTTGCATACTATACACGTCAATGACACAGGTCTATAGTTTAGTGCCTCTTTTCTGTCTCCTTTTTTAAAAATGGGAACTACATTTGCCGTCTCCCATACCTCAGGTAGTTGTGTGTGTTTGTGTGTGTGTTTGTGTGTGCGTGTGTATGTGTATGAGTGTGTGTGTGTGTGTGTGTTAATGAGTGTGTGTGTGTGTATGAGTGTGTGTGCGTGTGTGTGTATGAGTTTATGTATGTGTGTGTGTGTGTGTGTGTGTGTGTGTGTGTGTGTGTGTGTGTGTGTGTGTGTGTGTGTGTGTGTGTGTGTGTTTATGTGTGTGTGTGTGTGTATGAATTTGTATATGTGTGTGTGTGTGTGTGTGTGTGTGTGTGTGAACAATCAATATTTGCACCAATAACTCATTACAGTTGTGACCGGGTGTGGAAGTGTGAATTGCTCATTACACTATAATTTGTTCATGATTGTAGCCATGTATAAACGTAAGTAACCATTCTTACAGTATTCATTACCTTTGTAACTTGTGAGTTCATTACCTTGTACCTAGTTCAGCCATCAAAACTTTGGGGCCCGGTCCCTGGACCCATTGTGTACCTCTGTAATCTGTAAATACCTTTGTAACTTGTCATGATTGTGACTAGACCTACCTGGAGTTCATTACCTTTGTAAATTGTGAGTTCATTACCTTTGTAAATTGTGAATTCATTACCTCTGTAACTTGCTCAGCTATCAAAACTTTGGAGTCCAGTCCCTGGACCAATTATGTACCTCTGTAATCTTTTGACTACCGCCCACAGGATGGGTATGGGGTGCATAATAAACATATTAAACTAACTAAGGAGTAAGGCTGAACTACATTAGGTTATTTAAGAATGGGTTACGATGGATTTTTTTTTTTTAGGTCAGGTTAAGTTTCTTTCCAATTCCACAAAAACCCACCTAATCCACAAAACTAACTAAATATTGGACATTACAAGGAATAAATTATCAACCAACTCAGACCAGGATCTGAACTCAATGATCCTTATTTCTGTTATACTTCCTTTGCAATTTAGAAGGCCTGGGTCTCCCTCAAGGGAAGTTCCTGGATGGTGAGGGACTCTTGGTCCAAGGAACTGGACCTTTCCTCTCCTTCCTTGAAACGATTTTGATTGCCTTCCATTCCCAAGGCTTTATATGACTCCTCCAGGTCTAGCGCTTATCCCTCCCAACATCTGATACCTGATACAGATTCCAGGGGCGATGAACCCTGGAATCTATAACAAGTATCAGATAACTTTAAGGTCTCTAGTTCGATGCTCTATCAAGGCTAAAGGTGCTAGCTATTTTCCTTGTGCCTACTACCTGTAAACATCTAATTGTTAAAATATATACCTGGGTGTTAGACGAACGAGACAAACCAATTCTATAAAAATGTGTTTGTTAGCAAAGTTCAGCCTCCTGAAAGTCGCATCCTGGGTAAAAATTGTAATGTGTATGAAAACTAGACTTGCTGGAAGGATTGAAGTGATAGGCAAAAGATATCCGCATACCAAGGTGTATATATCTATCGATGTGTAAAAAAAAAATGTTCACAACAAAAAATACTCTTGAGATATAGGAAGGTAAAGAAAGATAGGCTAGGCTCTTAACCATAGATGAAACAAGAATAAGAGTGCATGGCTGGAAATTACACAGCTGAGAAGGATACAAGAGTGTACTGGATAAAAACAATGGTAAATATACAGCTAATAAGACACAAGGAAATATAAACTGAACAATGATAGTGACAATAACCTCCATAAAGGAATTAAAAGTTACAAAAGACAAGGCTGTGGGCTATTTCACATCTTTCCCTCATGAGAGGTACCTTGATGTCGGTGATTGGTGCTTGATCAAAGGAATAGGACTTATCCTCATCTCCCTTGGTTAAAACCTTAGTGCCTCCCATTCCCAGGCATTATGTGACTCCTACAGGTTTAGCACTTTTCCCTGATTAAACTAAAATAAACGTCAGTTTGTGGAAAACTAAGACGGATCCGAAAGGTTGAATTCTCCCTCCCCGTGGAATTAAAATAGGTCAGTACAAATGGGTAATTGCAGTCTGTTATATGTACAGTAGTGATCAGCGAAGGGGCGGGGCCAGAGCTGTTACTCGACCCCTACAACCATATATAGATGAGTATATAGGTGAGTACATACAAATAGATAAGTAGAGAGGCTGTGATTCAACTCCCTCTGAAGGAAGGTGCCTTGATGCTGGTGAGGGGCTCTTGATCTTGGGAGTTGGATCTGTGCTCCAGTTTCCTGAATTAAGCCTGAATGCCTTCCACATTCCCCCACAGGAGCTGTATAATCGTACGGGTTTAGCGCTTCCCCCTTGATTATAATATTAATGTGATTCAACCCCGTAACCACAACTACGTAACGTACATACACATATTCACATACACACAAAGAAATATGTAATTAACATGTAATGATACATACGCGGTGAGAGTAAATATTTAATAATGTGTGAGAAGAGAGGGATTAATTGAAGAGTGTAAGTTAAGATTGGCGGGTGAGGGTGGCTTGTGAGGGCGAGGGGCAGTTGGCAACACTGTAAGTGCAGGATCACCTGTCCTGACGGTTGATGAAGACTTGCATGGCATTTTGCCACTCAAAAATGTAACCCAAATCTCAAATTACGATGAAAGCCATGGTGGTGTGAGTGTTGTGCACCCGTGTAAGAGTGATGTGACAGTGGGCAGATAAATACAAGTGTATAATAAGGCCGGAGGTCCTACAGGCAGGCATGGATATGGCCCATTGCCTACCATGTTGAGCAGTAAACAATACAAGTTATTTCAATGTCTACATCATAAATAGAATGAAAAAAATGTTTCCCGCGACATCCAACACAGACTCGCAAGTATACAATTTCGACAGCGAGGAGAACTCTCAGAAATGGAAGCGTTTGTTCCTTAGTTCCCTTCAGAAGGTGAGTTTGTTATCATTGACAGGATGCTTCTGTCAACTGCTGCTTCTCCTCCTCCTCTTAACTCCTCTTCTCTCTCCACTTCACTAACTCACACTTGTACTCATATATATCTAACCCTCACAAATATATAACGAAAGCTGTTTTATTATATTCAAAAACTATTAAATGAGAGAGAGAGAGACGTGTTTGTTTTGGTTGGCTAAGTTTGTTGATGTTAGTTATTAAGATCATTCTTCAGTCAAATTAAGTCGTATACGAAAGTATTACAGCACATATATGTAAAATGTGTTTAGATTTGAAAAACTACAGTATTGCATATAGTCAGTAAACAAATAGAAAAATGATATGGCTAAATTAGGATTTCCTACAACTGGTATGAGGTAACAAGCATATAAATGAATGTTTTCCTTGTTAATACTGTCTAAACAGCAGTGCTGTATAACCCTTACGGGTTTAGCGCTTGGTTATAATAATAATACTGTCTAAATTGCAGCATGATAATGTTGAAACATGTTACTGTTATGTTTGCAACCTATTTTAAACTAAGAGACAAATGCTGAAAAGTTTAAAGAATTTATTCTGTAGAAATGTGTATGAGCCTAGTGGAAATAAATTATACTTAGCTTTGGTGAATTATTCCAGGTTAACTAATCATTTATCACCACTGTATGCCTATAGAAATATTGGTGCTTAATGCAGACTTTTGTGAAAAGTCAAAATGCCAATCTGTGAGTATATGAGAATATATTTATAAGCTGGATGAACCACACAGCTTTAATGTTATTTTTATGACTATTGTATTATTATAATGAGAAAAAGTGTAGCTTACTTTTTTCTCAAAAGATAACAAGGGCTGTGCTGCAGATGATTATGTTCAGTATACTAAATATTGAAAAATACAGTACTTTAAAACGATTATTGGCATAAGGTATTAAACACACTGAGTGCCTTCCGTGGTTCAGTCCCTGGCATGGGTAGAAATGTTGGGCATGTTTCCTTACCTGCTGTCCCTGTTCACCTAGCAGTAAGTAGGTACTTGGGTGTTAATCATCTGGTGTGGGCTGCATCCTGGGGGACAAGATTGAAGGACTCCAATGGAAATAAGACAGTCCTTGATGATGCACTGACTTTTCTTGGGTTATCCTGGGTGGCTAACCCACCGGGGTAAAAATCTTAACAAATCTTATCTTAACATTTAGGTTTTGCAATCAAGTGACTGAAGCTAGGTGATTTTTCACTGGTGAGCCATATTAATAGGATGTGATTCCATGCAAACTTGTGCTGATATACTATATGATAAACTTATGATTATATCATTAAGTTTTGAAAGCTCTCTCTCCCTACACAAAATGATGCAAAAGCCTTGATACACATTCACCAAATTGTTACATTCCTTTGTGCAAACGTATCATGCTAAAATAAAATTGTTATTGTTATTACTAGTAATTGAGTTGGAGCTGGGCAAGAAGCCTACATCATTGGCAAGTAGCTACTTGAGGCTGGTAGAAAAAATATGTATAGTAAAAGCAAGCATTTTTATTAAAGCCTACATTTCAGCTTTAAAAGACTTGATGAAGCCTCTTGTAGGCAAAGCATCATATTCAATAAAAGGCCTTCCTTTCAAGGGAGGTTCCTTGATGCTGGTGAGGGGACTTGATCTAGGGAATCAGACTTGTGCTCTAATTCCTTGAATTGAATCTGAATGCCTTCCATTTCCCCAGGTGCTTTATGACCTGTATGGGTTTAGCACTCTCCATGAATATTATAATAATAATAATAAAAGGCCTGCTTTTGCTATGTACATGTATATCTTTTTTTCCAGCACTTGTGGGTACACTGCCTCACTCCATCTATCTGGGGCTACTTGATTCCATCTCATAAATATAGTTCAAATATATAAATGCAAGTACGTATATAATTGATCATACAGAATGTGAGAAGGATTTGGGAGTTATGGTAAGCAGAAATCTGACATTAGTGCCTAAGCGTCCATAATAAGACTAATTTATAACAAGAAGTACAAGCGATAGGTGCCCAAAGATTATTCTGCAGCCCTAAACATCATTAGTAAGGCCTCATTTAGATTGTAATATAGTTCTGCTCTCCATACAACAGAATGGATACACTGTACTGTAAATGCACTAAAGAACATACAGAGAAGGGTGACAATAATCCATTGTATAAGGAATCATTCGTACCAAGATAAATGGAGAGCTCTGAGCCTGCACTCTCTTGAAAGATGTAGAATGAGGGGGAGATACGATTGAAGAATGAAAGTGGAAGATGGATTCAGTATAAATAAAGGAGATGTAAACAGGATACTGAGGTTATCTAACAGAAAATAACTCAAAACAATGGATTCAAGTTGAATAAAATCAGATTTAGAAGGGATACATATAGAACATTATTGATTTTGAAATAGAGCTGTAAATGAGTAATACACCTATTTACAATTGAAGGATGCTCCTCAATTGAACTTGGATATTATTTTATATTTTAAGATGTGTGCAAACTATTGGTTAAATTGATATTTTGGTAGATATTAGTAAAAAAAAAAATTGGTATGAGCTGCGCTTTAGAGTTGGTCAACTCTTAGTATTGCAGCCTGGCCAATCACAGCAAATGGAAAAAAACAAAGATGCAGCTGACATAAACATCAACAGATGTTGGGGTAAGGCTAAGTTAAGCATGGGTTATTTTAGGTTGGGTTAGGTGGATTTTGTTAAGTTTGGTTACTTATCTTACAATTTGCACAACATAGCACACTCTATAGAGGGATAACATATACCAGACCCAGTTCTTTTTAGTCATGATAGACACCAAGGATGCTTTGTAGCAAAAACTGAATGTAATTGGAGTAGAACACAATTTTTTATTCAGTGTTTCCAGAGCTGGATTAAAATTTTGTAGGCTCCTGGGCTACAGGTACTGTGAGGCCACGAGTGATATTTCCAAAAGGTGAAAAAATTAAAGAAATATTAAATTTATTTTTACAAGGCTTTCCACAGTTAAAATTCAAACATTTGCTTTGCTTAATTTCCTAGAAACAAATTTCTTCAAAATATCAGTAAATTGTAAGTTGAGAACATCTCTGAAGGTCCTCCAGCTGGCAGAAGCCCCTGGGCTGCAGCTCCTAAAACCCATACCTTAATCCTGCCCTGAGCATTTGTATGCAATATGGAACATTTGGACCTAGTGCCTGGCAGAAACGTAGAAGTCCAAAAGTAAAGACCATCCTTGGTTTACCATTCTGTATAATTGTAGGCCATCATTACAGATATTTTGATAGTAATTTTAGGTTTGATATTGACCTGCATTGGCTAAGTCTGAAGATTCTCTTCCTGGGTTTTCTTGGCTCTTTTCAGAATGTCAGGGAAAGTTTGAGACTAAAGTGGTTTGTTGAAGAGTATTGCTATGGCTGATAATACAATGATATGCACTTACACAGGTTGTATGTCATGATTATTTCCACTTTTTGCAGTACACACTTTTAAATTATGGTAATTATAATACAACCTCTCCTCACTTAGCGACGTACTCGTTTACTGACAACTTGGACTTACGATGGGCGCTCTGACCAGTGTGCATACCTAAATAATGTATATTAGAGCTGATTTCCTTTATTCTGTTTATTACAATATACAATACACTACTCTATAAAAATATACCAGAAATATTATAAATGGTGCAAAGGTGACATTAAAACAATACCAAAGATGGTTCATACAAACCCACTACCATTATAGTATGCTCCTCACTTAGCGACAAATTCATTTACTGATGAGGTCTTAGGAACGGAACTCCGTTGTTAAGTGAGGAGAGGCTGTAATTATTTCAGGATGTGATTGGCCAAAAGGAATTAGGATATTTATTGGCAAAATAGTTATTTACATTGGTTTGGCTCAATGTGATATTCTAGAAATGAGTAATCTAAGCTGATTTAAAGGAAATTATCATCCTTGGTTTACATAAAAATAAATTCATGTTTGTACAGTATATGCCTGTAATTTCTTGCCTCTATCAAACATTTGCGATTTAATGGGAAAGTTAATCATATTTACTGTACTTTATTAAATACAAAGTCAGGCATACATCATGTGCTTTTTATTACTGTTGGTAAAATTACCGACAATATGTTAAGTAAAAGGACACGTGCAACTAATGCAACATTTTATTGTGGCAACATTTCACTCTCCAGGAGCTTTGTCAAGCCATTATGTGCTTTAGTGCATGGTAGAAGATTATTTGATGCTTTTTCTACAGGTGCTGAAGCAGGTTCATCCAACATTAGCAGCCAAAGATGATGCACTTGAATATGTGGAGAGTCTCATCCTGCGGTTGTTGGCTATGTTGTGTGCACGTCCTGCCCCTCACACTGTCCAGGCAAGTATTCCATTAACTATATTACTGATTTCTGTGTTGCCTCCTCCTCCCACAAAAAAAGAATTAAACTACTTTGTGATTCTATGGAAGAAATCACAATAAAAGGCATGATTTCAAATATGAAAAAATAACACGTTGAAAATAGGAAATAAAACATGAGTGCTTTCATGTGCTTATCTTCAGAGGAATAGGAAGATGAGGCAAGAGAAGGACATTATATATATAAAACCCTGAGGTGACACCACACACCAACAGGTATTGCTCAAATCTAACCCACACATACTTTGTCCAACATTAAATTAAATTGTTTGCCTGGCAAAGAACACACATTATTTTTGTGAAAAATATTTTTACCATTAATATTATGGACAATATTCTGGCCTATAAAACTGTCAAGTTTATACATTCAGGGTTTAACATATAAAATGTGCTTCTCTTGCCTCATCTTATTACTTTGAAGATATGTGTGTAAGCACATGAAAGCACTCGAGTTTAATTTCCTATTTTCACTGTGGTATTTTTTTTCATATTTGTGATTCTATTTTATCCTTCTGCATTAATTATTTATTATTTTCTTTCATCTGTCATACTTTTGTACACTTTACCATTTCAGTTTTTCTAATTTTTAATTTGTTATTAATGTAATTTTTTATTACTGTAATAATAGCTCTGCATTGAGAAGTCTTGGATATTTTTCTTTTTAAAGCTTTCTGACATTTATTGGTGTGACAAGAGCAGGTATTTTAGTGTTTGGGAAAGCTTTTACCTGTGCCATCCTTTGATTGTCAAAAATGGTGCAGTTGTAGAGCGAATACTATTACATTTACTTTCAGTATTCTTTATTTACAGGATGTTGAGGAAAGAGTACAGCGAACATTTCCAAACCCAATTGATCGCTGGGCAATTGGGGATGCTCAAGCAGCAATTGAGAAGGGGCGCAAAAAGTCACCCCTTGTCTTACCTGCAGAGAAAGCCCACCCTTTATTACGAGTAGGTAGACCAAAGCAGGTATTGTTACCAATAACAGATTAACATGCAAGCAAGATGGTCTTTGTGTTTTGCTATGCTCTTGGAGTGTAGGTAAAGTAATATCTGTGATAGGACTTGGGGAAACCAGTTAGCTGAACTTGAATTTTGGAGTTTTATTATGCATTTAATATGCATTATATGAGCAATAAAAAGAAAATATTCAAGCTGCACATAATGGGTCCAGTGACTGAGCTCCAACATTTTTAGTTGTAATGAACCACATATAAATTTATTGGTTCAGTAATCACAGTAATGAGTTGTTTACACAAATAATGAATTCATTTGCATAACCAGAGATAATTTCTTGTCTGTTAATCATAGTCTACATAGCTCTAGCCCCAGTGGTAACACCTTAGCTTAATCCTTTGTGCTGTTACCTGTTGCTAAGAGACCATTGTCATCTGAGGACCTGAATGGAAATAAGTCAGTCACACTGATTATTTTGTTTTTTCATGGTTAAAGTTACCACAGTTGTATTCCTATAACAATTATACGTTTCTAGGAACTACGTGTATTGTGTAAGTGTATACCTCTATATCAGGGGTGGGCAAACTTCAGTGCAGGGGCCACATTCAGAAATTCACAACTTTAAAGGACCATTTGTAGGTAACATGTTATTGTTCCAAAATATTATTTGGTGTTACACAGTAACCTTTTTTTTTTTCTTTTAAATTTACTTACATTTTGTCCCCAAATAACGTGAGTATATGACTTGATCTTGGCAGGCCGCCTGAAAACCTTTGGGGGGCTGCATGCGGCCTGCGGGCCGTAGTTTGCCCACTGCTTTTCTATATGCACTTATTATACAGTAATAGAATATATTTAATGCTAATGGATATATAATCTACATTACATGAGAAGAGAATGGGGCTGAAGATATCTCCTTGTAGTGGTCTACATTTCAGCAAGGGTTCTGATTCAGTTTTATTAGCATTAGTTGCCTGGTTAGTTTATTAAGCTTAAAGTTCATATTGACTACATTGCTGATTAATACTTTAATCCCAAAAATAGGTATTAACCTTCTTGCATCATATATGTACCTTTGGGATACATATATATGTATGTATATACCATTTTTTTTATTAGGTTGAAAACCTTTTCACCTACATGAGGGTCGATGATGCTGTATGTCACCTGTACATCACCAGTTAAGAAACTTCTTTTATCCCTAGTATAGGGATAAAAGTAAATTCTTTCTATACACTGGGGATGCACACCTCTGCATATTCTTTGTTTATACATTGAGGGATGGTTGGTTTATCAGTTTTAAAGCCTATTGACTGCAAATTCCCCATTCACCACATACTAAGAATACCTCTTCTATAAAACAGGAAATAGCATTAAAGTAAACTGCCAGTGTGTACACCAATAAACCCTCTGTGTATATGCTATATGCACACACCTCTTGGCATATATATACTTATTTAGTTCTAACAATGTTTCCTTCTGTTTGTATTAGTCTCTACCAGTTAAGTGTTGCTTCACATGAGGAAATGTTAGTTAAAACAAATGTTAGTTATAGGATATGATTAGGGCATATATGACTAATGTTTCATGCACATTATGCATTCAGATAACTATTATAAATGTAGTTGAACCTAAAATGATAATATAAACGAGGTTCTGTAATTGGTTAGACATTTCAGAAGTGCATGTGAATATTAAATTTAATTTAAAATAATTTTAAGAGATACTGTAATTATTGTCCTTTTCAAATTTGGACTGTAGAGTATAAATATTAGTAATATTTAAATCATCCATTTCACAAAATTCATGTAACATAGAGATAATTTTTAATCAGCACATACCTGTGAGGTTAATGCAAAATGTCACTTTGTGCATAACTAAGCTTCAGAAACTAATTTTTTTTTAAAGAGTGTCCTCAACTCAATTGTTAGCACACTCGGCTCACACACTGAGATGCAGGGATCAATTCCTGGTATGGGTGGAAACATTAGGACGTGTTTCCTTAAGACACCTGCTGTCCATGTTCACCTATCAGTAAAATAGGTACCTGGGTATTAGTTGACTGGTGTGGGTTGCCTCCTGGGACAAAATTGACCTAATTTGCCCGAAATGCTCTGCATAACAAGGGATTCTGTATATAGTAGTATGTCATTGATGTCAGCTATGTCTGTATACCTTGTACATGAACTTCTAGAAATAAAGATTTTTATTATTATTATTATTATTATTAATTTTTTTTTTTTTTTTTTTTTTTTTTCAACAAGTCGGCCGTCTCCCACCGAGGCAGGGTGACCCAAAAAAGAAAGAAAATCCCCAAAAAGAAAATACTTTCATCATCATTCAACACTTTCACCACACTCGCACATTATCACTGTTTTTGCAGAGGTGCTCAGAACACAACAGTCTAGAAGCATACACATATAAAGATACACAACATATCCCTCCAAACTGCCAATATCCCAAACCCCTCCTTTAAAGTGCAGGCATTGTACTTCCCATTTCCAGGACTCAAGTCCGACTATATGAAAAATAACCGGTTTCCCTGAATCCCTTCACTAAATATTACCCTGCTCACACTCCAACAGATCGTCAGGTCCCAAGTACCATTCGTCTCCATTCACTCCTATCTAACACGCTCACGCACGCTTGCTGGAAGTCCAAGCCCCTTGCCCACAAAACCTCCTTTACCCCCACTCTCCAACCCTTTCGAGGACGACCCCTACCCCGCCTTCCTTCCCCTATAGATTTATATGCTTTCCATGTCATTCTACTTTGATCCATTCTCTCTAAATGACCAAACCACCTCAACAACCCCTCTTCTGCCCTCTGACTAATACTTTTATTAACTCCACACCTTCTCCTAATTTCCACACTCCGAATTTTCTGCATAATATTTACACCACACATTGCCCTTAAACAGGACATCTCCACTGCCTCCAACCGTCTCCTCGCTGCTGCATTTACCACCCAAGCTTCACACCCATATAAGAGTGTTGGTACTACTATACTTTCATACATTCCCTTCTTTGCCTCCATAGATAACGTTTTTTGACTCCACATATACCTCAACGCACCACTCACCTTTTTTTTCCCTCATCAATTCTATGATTAACCTCATCCTTCATAAATCCATCCGCCGACACGTCAACTCCCAAGTATCTGAAAACATTCACTTCTTCCATACTCCTCCTCCCCAATTTGATATCCAATTTTTCTTTATCTAAATCATTTGACACCCTCATCACCTTACTCTTTTCTATGTTCACTTTCAACTTCTACCTTACACACATTCCCAAACTCATCCACTAACCTTTGCAATTTTTCTTTAGAATCTCCCATAAGCACAGTATCATCAGCAAAAAGTAACTGTGTCAATTCCCATTTTGAATTTGATTCCCCATAATTTAATCCCACCCCTCTCCCAAACACCCTAGCATTTACTTCCTTTACAACCCCATCTATAAATATATTAAACAACCATGGTGACATTACACATCCCTGTCTAAGACCTACTTTTACCGGGAAGTAGTCTCCCTCTCTTCTACACACCCTAACCTGAGCCTCACTTTCCTCATAAAAACTCTTTACAGCATTTAATAACTTACCACCTATTCCATATACTTGCAACATCTGCCACATTGCTCCTCTATCCACTCTATCATATGCCTTTTCTAAATCCATAAATGCAATAAAAACTTCCCTATCTTTATCTAAATACTGTTCACATATATGCTTCAATGTAAACACCTGATCTACACATCCCCTACCCACTCTGAAACCTCCTTGCTCATCCGCAATCCTACATTCTGTCTTACCTCTAATTCTTTCAATTATAACCCTACCGTACACTTCTCCTGGCATACTCAGTAAGCTTATTCCTCTATAATTCCTATAATTCCTCTATTATTATTATTATTTACTAAAACTTCATTAGTGTTCAGTATTTTGCTATTCCATTATCATTGATATGTGAATTTTTCAGGATGTTCTCCAGACAAAGATCGATTATCAAGTAACACTGTATATAGTTGCAGTTTTAGAATATATCTCTGCTGATATATTAAAGGTAAGGCATAACTGTGAGTGTATGTATGTATGTAGGTGATGTATTGAGGCATCTGTGGAAAGAAAGTTTATGTGGAAGCAAAAAAGGGAATTTAGCAAAATATAGTGATCCCAGTACTTTTATATGGGTGTTATGCATGGGTGTTTGAATGGTGCAACAAGGAGGCAGCGAGAGGCAGTGGGACTGCATGTTTGACAGCAGTGTGTGGTGTGAACATTATGCAGAGAATTCGGAGCATAGACTTAACCCTTCAACTGTCCAAACGTAGATCTACGTTTACGCATGTAAAAAAAAAACGTAGATCTACGTTCGGAGCGCTACGCAAGCGGACGTAGATCTACATTTGGACAGTTTATGGGTTAAAGCCGATGTGGGGTCATCAAGGATATAATACCATAGAAATTTTTAGTTTAGAATTTGTGTATTCATAAGGTCCAGTGTATTCTTATCTTGATTATGTAGAATTGATTGAATGTATTTTTTATTAAAAGGGTAATAAAATATATTCATTTCTTAAGGCATAGGATTCATTATATGTTTTTAAAATATTTGACTGTTAAGGGAAAAACAGATATTCAGACCATTTCTATGTTGGCAGCTTGCTGGGAATTATGTTAAGAACATTCGACACATCGAGGTGACCCAACAAGACATCAGAGTAGCCATGTGTGCTGACAAGGTAAGTCATTTTTTCATATTGGAAGCTAGTTCAAATAAAGCACTGGTGATTATGTTTATTCTTTAGATTTTTTAATGAGATACGAATAAGCAGAAAAAGTAAGTAAATACAGTAACTAAATAAATAACCAAATATACTGACTGAAAAAGCCATTTGTGAGGAAAAGTTTTCTTTAATAAATCTCCTGAACTGTATATAAGTGTTGATTCATAGCTTCTTGTCCCATCTTTCAACTGTTATTGACTGACTTTATTAATTCCTCGGCTCCAGGAGAAGGGCTCTTGCACTGACCTTCATTTATGTGATTACTGAGTAGAGATAAAATTCATAAATTCTATATGTATTATCTGTTTTCTTTGAAAACCATTCATTCTGGAAAGAGTGGCCTCATGTAAATTTTTCTATAAGGAATGTACAGTTGGATAGTTACAGTATTATTTACTTAAAATTGATGGCTGTTTTCCTTCAGGTGCTTATGGACATGTTCCAACAAGACGAAGATGGGGAGATGAGTGGAGTAGTTGAAGACACTAATCTGGACACGTCCATCACTTATGATGAACTTGTCAAAGACCTCATACAAGAAAAGAAGACCTATATTAGAGAACTCAATATGATTATTAAGGTAGATTGAGGAGAACGCATAATAATTTATTTTTGGGATGAAAAGATATTTCCTTTCTCAATGTTTTAAATATAGCAGTAAATATTACTCTCCTAAGATTGATGAGAAATCATCGAATTCTAAATGACCTGAGAACCCCACTCATGTTTTCTATGTAATGCCATAAACTTTGTGTACAATAGTGTCTGATTCATCCTCTTAGTAAATTTTTGCTAAGTTTTACGAAGAAAGCATGTGCTGTAGTTTTATAAACACTGTCGTTTCCTACTGAAGCATGATGATCCAGAGAAGGATAATGCATATACCATCACACATTTCCTAGCTGTCTTTCTACAAGTAAATAAACATAATTTAAATTATCTGCTGAATTTCGAAATCCAACCCCTATCCCCAGAGCATGTCTAGCTAACTAGTTTTCCTAAAGCTCTTCATAAGCATTGTGTGGTAGGTTTTTTGAGAGTAGTACTGTTGTGAGGAAGTATTGTGCACTAGAATTATGCTACTTAACTCATCATCAGCTCATAGAGGATGAAATATAAGGAAGGTCAAGTATTGTTATTTATTTTTTTTTTATTTTATTATGCCCGTTTCCCACCAAGGCAGGGTGGCCCGAAAAAGGAAAACTTTCATCTTCATTCACTACATCACTGTCTTACCAGAGGCATTATTAATATATCTGCATGAGGTGCTGGAGGCTTGATCATTTGTGCACTAAATATGAGACAGTCAAGCTTTTACTGCCCTCCTTTTGGAGCCGATGAGGGCAAAGAACATAGCATGGGAAAAATTTGGCGAGGTTTTTTTTTTTTTTTTTTTTTTTTTTTTTTTTTTTTTTTTTTTTTTTGTCACCCTACCCTACCTTTATGGTAAGGGTATATAGTAAATTCCTAGGTAGTAGATTGATAGACAGCAACCCCCTAGGGAGGTACTACCATCCTACCAAGTGAGTGTAAAATGGAAGCCTTTAATTGTTTTACATGATGGTAGGATTGTTGGTGTTTTTTTTTCTGTCTAATAAAAGTAAAATTTCAGGTACGTCTTGCTACTTCTACTTACACTTAGGTCACACTACACATGCATGTACAGTGGAACCTCTACTTACGAGTGCATCCACATGCGAGTTTTTCCAGATACAAGCAGTCACTTGGTCGATTTTTTGCTTCCAGATGTGAGTGAAATTTCCAGATGCAAGCGGACCTCAAGGGAGGTTCCTTGACGCTGGTGAGGGGCTCTTACTTTTGATCTAGGGAATTGGATCTCAGTTGTTTGTTGGGCTATCTTATTGAAACTTGGGCAGTGTATGATGGAAACATGCTTCTTAACATACACCAGAAATGAAAGAAATTGGGTCATAAAATACGGAGTTCACTTCTCAGTCATTAGCCTCTCCTTAGTATATTTTCGTGTGGTTTTTATGGTTGTATTTTCGTTTTTTTGGTCTCATTTGATAGAATGAAACATATATACTACAGAAATAGATATGATTTTGATTGGTTTCACCTCTAAATTGAGCTCAAAGTAGCAGAAATGTTTGATTCTTCGGCGATGTTCAAGAGTAAACAAATGACGTCACTGTCCAATACCTGTCCGATTGGCACTGCACCTCAACCTTCACATATTGGAAAGCTTTTCAACACGCTAGCAAAAGTAGGAGCAGACATCATGAGGTAGCAGTGGCAGACAACATGAAGCAGCAGTGGCAGACAACATGAAGCAGCAATGGCAAACAACATGAAGCAGCAGTGGCAGACATGAAGCAGCAGTGGCAGACATGAAGCAGCAGTGGCAGACATAATGAAGCAACAGTGGCAGACATCATGAGGTAGCAGTGGCAGACATGAGGTAGCAGTGACAGACATGAAGCAGCAGTGGCAGACATCATGAAGCAGCAGTGGCAGACATCATGAGGCAGCAGTGGCAGACATCATGTGGCAGCAGTGGCAGACATCATGAAGCAGCAGTGGTAGACATCATGAAGCAGCAGTGGTAGACATCATGAAGCAGCAGTGGTAGACAGCATGAAGCAGCAGTGGCAGACATTATGAAGCAGTAGTGGCAGACATCATGAAGCAGCAGTGGCAGACATCATGAGGTAGCAGTGGCAGACAACATGAAGCAGCAGTGGCAAGCATCATGAAGCAGCAGTGGCAGACATCATGAAGCAGCAGTGGCAGACATTATGAAGCAGCAGTGGCAGACAACATGAAGCAGCAGTGGCAGACATCATGAAGCAGCAGTGGCAGACAACATGAAACATCAGTGGCAGACCTTGTTGTACCCTATACTATAAGTGAGTTTCCGAACGCCACCACGAGATGGCAGTCCACTCCACTCGCGGTGGAGGAAATTCTTGTGTTTTCCTTACGTTTCGTGCAGTTATTTTGAGAAATTTCTTGTTTCTAACCGTGGGTCCTAGGAAGCAAGTGCAAAGGACAGTGCTGAGAAGAAAAAGAGGATGATTTCCATGGAATTAAAGCAGAAAATCATAGATAAACTAGGTGGAGGGTTAAGAACTTTGCCAGGCAGTACCAGCGTACCACTTTACGATATGTACAATACTAAAGCAGAAGGAGTCAGTGACAAAGTGTAGCATTAAGAGTGTAGCAATTATAAGTAACACTGTCTGACTTTTTTGGGTTATCCTAGGTTCTCAACACATGTAGTCAGGAGCAGGAATGGCCACTGTGGTAACCCTATAAACCCCAACAACGACAATGGCTGCTGTCACCACCACTAGTCACATACGTAATGACATGTATTTTATTCATTCTCGTGTATATATCTTGTTTCTATATTATTAATACAGTATTGTTTATTATGTCATATTAGATGAATTGTGATAGAGAAATAAGCCATAGAGCTGATATTAGGGAAATTATTAAAGTACGTATTTTGTCGTGCCTGGCATTCCACTGGAACGAATTAATTCCAATTCAGTTAATTTAAATCGAGGAAAATTGACTCTGCAAACAAGCAAATCCAGATGCGAGCAAGGTCACGGAATGGATTAAACTCGTAAGTAGAGGTTCCACTGTACAAGCATATATATACACACCCCACTGGGTTTTCTTCTATTTTCTCGCTAGTTCTTGTTCTTATTTATTTCCTCTAATCTCCATCGGCAAGTGGAACAGAATTCTTCCCCCGTATGCCATGCGTGTTGTGGGAGGCGGCTAGGATGCCAGAAGCAAGGGGCTAGTAACTCCTTCTCCTGTATAAATTACTAAATTTGAAGAGAAACTTTTGTTTTTCTTTTTGGACCACCCTGCCTTGGTGGGATACGGCCAGTTTGTTGAAAAAAAAAAAAAAGCCATGTGTGTCGGGATGAAGGGGCTAGTAACCCCTTCTCCTGTATACATTACTAAAGTTTAAAAGAGAAACTTTTGCTTTTCTTTTTTTGGGCCACCCTGCTTTGGTGGGATACTTCCAGTTTGTTGACAAAAATAATAGTACAGTATATAGTAAATTGTAATGGTTACAATAATTTTGCTGAAAAATTATAATTTGAAGGTACTGTATAGTATAGTGAACATTTGCTTTGTTGGCTAATTTTGTTTTTATTTTACTGTAAGTTATGATTTACAGTGAATATGTTTTCAAGTAGCTAATTCCATATGAATACTAAAAATTAAAAATGAATAAAAATTTTGCCAAAATATTTTTGGGAGGATAGGAAAGTGAAGATATAAGTAAGATTGAGAAGCAGAGAGGAAGTGTGACTGAGAAAGGGGACTTAATAATGTAGAATGAGAATGATGGTACTACGGATTTTTGATAATTAAAAAAAAAAATCAAGTAACAACCAGGTACCATTACATTGTTCATAGTTTATGGCTCAGGGTATTAACTTTTTGAGAGACTTGCTGCTCTGTAAGAGCTGTATGACCATTACCTGTTATGTTATTCACCATGGTTAACCCTTAAACTGTCCAAACATAGATCTGCGTTCACATGCGTAGCACTCCGAAAGTAGATCTACGTTTTTTACATACTTTCAAATATAAAAAAAAGAGTCGATCAACGTTTTTTACACGGTTTCAAATGTAAAAAAAAAAAAAATACTTTTTTTACATTCAAATGTAAAAAAACGTAGATCTACGTTTGGACAGTTTAAGGGTTAAATAGTAATACTCCGAGAGTGAATGAAATAGTAATCTACTGAGTAATTAATGTCTTGTCTTTCAGGTGTTTCGAGACAAACTACAACAAATTCCATCATTACAAGACAGTGGGCATAGAGAACTTGAGATTATCTTCTCCAACATCACAGAGATTTATGACTTTTCTGTCAATTTCCTAGGGTCTCTGGAAGACACAATGGAAGTGACAGAAGAAAATGAGTCTCCAGTCATTGGAATCTGTTTTGAAGAATTGGCAGAGGTAAGCTGCAGCCATATTATTTAAAAATAAACTGAATCTTCAAGGTTTTTTGTAAAATACTGTATTGTAATATTTCTAAATGACATATTTCCTGGATTCATTCTACCTCTACCTGTCATCACTGTTGGTGCTTGTATAGTAGTGTGGTTGAAAAAAATGCTGTTTCAGATAAAAATCAAAAGGAAATCTGACAATATAAGGTTTGTTGCTGTTCGAAGGAACAGTTTCATTAAGTGGTACTAGAAAGAGAATGAATCTTCTAAACATAAAGATGCTGTGTACAGAAAAAAAAAATAAGGTTTAAAATGCAATGTGCAACAGACATGGGATACAATTTAAGAACTTCAAGCTGTAATCGAGAGATTAGCTACTAGGTTAGGTTTATGTGGTTTTTAAGGTGAGGGATGGGTGGGTTGGAGCATTTAAAAGCAGGCATAGCTTTGTTTGTACTGTAATATTTATAGGCTGGTTCTGCAGGTGATAGAGCATCAGATAACTAGAGTGGAGCATAGTGAAAATGATGACTAGTGTTAGACAGTGGTTCTGTTCACCTCAATATTGATACATTAATCTCAAGACATTGTAAAACAGTGTTTGTGTATACCATTTAACACTTCACCTCTCATCCAGCTTATTCATCAATATTGGTATCTGTGCATCTATAAGGCACTATAATACAGCTTTAATGAAGGAAGTTTTGGCCTACCTTCAGAGGATGAAGATTGAAACTAGGAAGGATTATAAGGGATAAAGCATGACAGAATTAATAATTATACAATGAAGGAAACAAATAAGTTAGTTGAAGTTTGGAGTTAGATTAAGAAGAGCACATTAGAGAATGCTTGGAACAAAATTGTCCCTCCTAATGATGATGCAGAATCAAATTATGACATTAAGGAATTTGGTATTGTGATCCTTTGAATGTTTAAAGAAGACAGCAAAGAGTTAAAATGATAGAGTACACTGGTCAGAGATATAAACTAGGCACTCAGGGAAAATTACTTTTAATGTATGCAGAGTATGTCTAGAAGGAGTTTGGTGTGGATGAGGATGAAGGTAGTAATGGGTCTAATGTATACAGGATAATAGGATATGCAGTGCTTCATAATAAAATTTATAATATGTATAAAATACTCTATAGCAAAACTGTCGGATAAGCAATGTCGTAGATAAAGTAAGTGAGCTGATAGGGAGGAATTACAGTACTAGAGAGTATTGATGAAAACTCACAGGTACAGAGCAAGCTTATGTTAAGACACTTGTTTTACTGTTCAGAGCTTTATCAAAGTACTGACTTGATAAAACTGTACAAAGCAAAAATAGCTGTGAAAGGTTGCTTTGCACATTTCATTTCTTCAGTACTGTTGGCAGTACATTATTGCATCCAGTATGGAGTAATTAGGCTTTCCTTTATTTTCTTGTATATTATTTACATTTTTTTAAACTTTCTGCAAATTTCTTTGGCACAGGGTGCTGAGTTTGATGTGTATGGAAAGTACGCTAGTGATGTTTTACGTTCCGAATGTGCTGAAACATTAATGGAGGTAGTGAGTCGACCGGATGTGAGTGATGCCCTCACTAGTGCCGGACATGGGTTTAAAGAGGCTGTCAAGTACTACCTGCCTAAGCTGTTGCTTGTACCTGTTTATCACGTTTTCACCTACTTTAAAGATATAGAGGTCAGTTATTCTTAATATTATTTATTGCAAAATACACAGTACTTCTGTACTTTCAGATATAGTTAAGGATCAACTCAGTTGTATTATTGTTATTTTCACTTTGAAAATTTATTTTTGTTTGAGTATGTGTCTAAACTGTTACTACTAATTTAACATTGTTAGTGATTGAGTGGTGTTTTGATTCTTATGTTAATAGCTTCTTCAGAAACTGAAATTTCATAATAATAATAATAATGACAAGGTTAACCTTAGAATTGATGAAGGAAAAAAAGGTGAGTTGTCACAGTTGCTCTTTGGTGATGACACTGTGCTTTTAGGAGATTCTGAAGAGAAGTTGCAGAGGTTGGTTGATGAGTTTGGTAGGTTATGTAAAAGAAGGAAATTAAAAGTGAATACTACAGTGGAATCTCAGTTTTTGTGATTCATCTGTTCTAAAAAGTCTGACGAAAACTGAAGCAGTATTTCCCATAAGAGATAATGTAAATCCAATTATTCCGTTCCAGACACCCAAAAATATTAAAAAAAATACATTTTATAGAGAATGACTATATTTATACATACAGAAAACAATGAGAAATATTAATTGCTAATGAAATGGATAAATGAACATTTAACATCACTTTTACCTTTATTGAAGACTCTTGTTGGCATATAGAAGAGGGATCAAGGCCCTGTCTGGGGTTACTTCCCTTCTTTGTCTTTTACTGGCACTTGGACCAGCTCAAGAGTTGCTGTACCCCTGTCACACAAAAAATCTGTCCAGAGAGGTCTGTTTCTGGTGTCTCTAAGATTTGCCTAAAATGGGACAAGGCATTGTCATTGAACATGTTGCAGACACATCTTGCAACAGCTTTGTTAGGGTGATATTTCTCCAAAAAACTTCGCAACTCCAATTTGCACACATTTCCTTAATCACTGAAGTAGGCACATTCTCCCCTCTCTCTTTCTCCTCCTCTGAAGCAATTTCCTCAGCTGTGGTCTGTTGCTGTTCCAGTTGAAGGTCTTGCAGCTCTTCAGTGGTTAGCTCTTCCCTGTGATCATCCACCAACTCTTCCACATCCTGGCCACTCACATCCAACCCCATGAACTTCCCCAAAGACACAATATTCTATCGTGTTTCTCATCTTTATCAAAGGGCTGGCACTCGGAACCTTCTTTGGCCCCATGGTTGCTTATTTAGCAGTTGCACTCAATAAACAAGCACAAAAAACAATGGATTATTACGAAATGTTTCGGATGAACATACAGGTTGATGCTCACTCAACGAGAAACAAAGGCAGACTGAATCACGAACGCATGAGATGCTTTGTGTTGAGAAAAAGGTGAGTGGTGCACTGAGGACTCTGTGAAGACAAGAACTTTATCCAAGAAAGCAAAGAAGGGAATATATGAGAGTATAGTTATACCAACACTTTTGTATGGATGTGAGATATGACATCACCACTGGAGGCAGTGGTGATGTCATATCTGAGGGCAATGTGTGGTGTGAATATAATGCAGAGAATCCGTAGTTTGGAGATTAGGAGGAGGTGAGGGATTACCAAAACTATTATTCAGTGGGCTGAAGAGGGGTTATTGAGAAGGTTTGGACATGTAGAGAGGATGGAACAAAATAGAATGACTTCGAGAATGTATAAATCCTTAGTGGATGGAAAGCAGGGTAGGGGTCAGCTTGGGAAAGGTTGGAGGGAGGGGGTAAGGAATGTTTTGTGTGCGAGGGGCTTGGACTTCCAGCAAGCGTGTGTGAGCAAATGGAGACAAATGGTTTTTAGTACTTGACATGCTGTTGGAGTGTAAGCAAGGTAACATTTATGAAGGGATTCAGGGAAACTGGCAGGCCGGACCTAATTCCTGGAGATGGGAAATACAGTCCCAGCACTCTGAAGGAGGGGTGTTAATGTTGCAGTTTTATAACTAGTGTAAGCATGCCTCTGGCAAGACAGTGATGGAGTGAATAATGATGAAAGTTTTTCTTTTTTGGGCCACCCTGCCTTAGTGGGAAACAGCCAATGTGTTAATACAAAAAAAAAGTGAGTGGTGCATTGAGGTATCTGTGGAGACAAAAAACGTTATCCATGGAGGCAAAGAAGGGAATGTATGAGATTATAGTAGTACCAACACACTTATATGGGTGTGAAGCATGGGATGTGAATGTTGCAGTGAGGAGGAGGCTGGAGGCAGTGGAGATGTCATGTCTAAGGGCAATGTGTGGCGTAAATATTATGCAGAGAATTCGTAATGTGGAAATTAGGAAGAGGTATGGAATTACTAAAAGTATTATTCTGAGGGCTGAAGAAGGGTTGTTGAGGTGGTTTGGTCATTTAAAGAGGGTGGAGCAAAATAGCATGACTTGGAGGGTGTATAAATCTGTAGTGGAGGGGAGGAGGGTTAGGGATCATCCTAGGAAAGGAGGTAAAAGAGGTTTAGTGTGCAAGGAGCTTGGACATACAGCAGGCATGGGTGAGCATGTTAGATAGGAGTAAATGGAGATGAATGTTTTTTGGAACACAGGCCAAGAGTGTGAGCAGGGTAATATTTTGTGAAGGGATTCAGGGAAACCAGTTTGCCAAACCTGAGTCCTGGAGGTGGGAAGTACAATGCTTTCACTTTAAAGGAGGGATTTGGGATATTGGCTGTTTGGAGTGACATCTGTCGTGTTTGAGCACCTCTGCAATATGTGCACTTGCAGTATGTATATGTATGCACTATACATAAATGCTGATAAAGGACATTTATGAAAATTAGGTGTTATGTGTCAGCTTTTACATTACATGGATGTTAGATGTTGCTCTGAGTAATGCAGAATCACATATTTAAAAACAAGACCAGTGCTAGTACAGTGGTACCTTGGCTTATGAGTTTAATTCGTTCCATGATCAAGCTCGTAACTCAATGTGCTCGTATATCAAATTAATTTTCCTCATTGAAATTAATTGAAATGCCATTAATCCGTTCCAGCCCCAAAAAAACCACCCCAGGGGCAATAGAAAATACTTCAGTATAATGCTAATATCAACTCTATGGCATATTTATCTATCAGAATTGATCTAATATGACATAAACACTATAAGTAACATAGAAACCTGATAAATACTCTAGAATGAATGAAATAGGTCATAATATGGCGAGTGTCTAGGACCAGTCCGAGCATATAAAATTATTCTTTGGTCCTGGGTAAGATAAAATGGAGTTTTTGAGAGGCTAACTGCACTAGATCACTAATGCAGTGATATATGAATATCTTGGAAGTAAGTTATTGACCTATTTCATTAAGTACACCATTTATTATTGAAGTAAATGCAATAATATTGACAATTGTTCTACAATTGGCTGGTGGAATATCAGAAATATTCCAAGTAGTATTTTGGGATTTGTGTGGGAGTAAAGGGCAAGATATTTTGCAAATGTCAAAAACAAATTTATTATTTTGTAGAATAACTAAAGATAATTACACAATTACCTCCAGTGAGAACATCGCACTAGCATTGTTTTATAAGTACTGAGTCCCAAAACCACCTTTCATTGTGCCATTTAGGCTGGGGTTCTTGCCAAATGTCATATTCAGTAAATATTTTTTTTTTGCTCATAACTCACATTTTGGCTCACAGCTCAAAGCAAAATATCGATCGAGCGTCGGCTCGTAACTTGGAAAACTCGTGAGTTGGGGCACTCGTAAGTCAAGGTACCACTGTATTTGTGTTATAAGAGTTTGCACTTGTGAATCGTGTTTTTTTCCCATCGTTTTATTTTTTGCTTTATGCATATATGGATGTATTATGTTGAATTATCTACAGATGTTGTTGAGTAATACGGAATCTGAAGAAGGACGGGAGAGCCTTGAGCAGGTCAAGGGGCTCTTGTGGCCACTTCAGAGTCAGCTAGAACGCAACATACAGAACTCTGCATACGCTCCGTACCTCAAAAGAAAAATAGGGTAGGAATTGCAGTTGATTCTAGTTTTTTAAAAGCTTGTTGAAGTTGCAAGTGATATAATTTAACATTAACTTTTAATATTAATATTTATTAATTTCATGGATTGGGCCAGTTCTAAGACTATAGGCAAGTACTCCAACCACTGTACAATGCTAGCATAATAATATTCATCCATGGTACAGTGGTTAAAGCATTGGATTGCTGGTTTTAGGATTGATTTTCAATGAGCCCAAATTCTGCCTGTTTTGTAAATTGTTTATAATTGTGTTTTAACAGTTTTGTGAATAATTGTTATTTTTTACAGAGAAATAAATTCACGCCATAGACGGCAAAGTAGACAACAAACCTTATTAAAGATGAAAGAACTACAACGGTCTATAGATGGCTGGGAAGGCAAAGTCATTACTCAGTGCTGCAATGAATTTGTTTTAGGTAAGTTGTATATATGAAAGGATTCAGATGAAACTGATTACCAAACTTGAGTCCTAGAGATGGGAAGCAGAGTGCCTGTACTTTGAATGCATATTGTGTAAGAAATATGTGCTGGTAAAATGACCTGTATACAGATTAATGGGGATGTCGCAGCTCGGTAGATCATGCAAATTTTGACATCTGTATACATCTAGAAAGGCATATGTAGATCGAATAATGTTGTGTTTTCTTCTTTGAGTAACCTTGCTTTGGTGAGAAAGAGCATCTTACAAAATAGTTTTTTTACTTCTGCATTTTTTTCCCCCCCAACAAACCGGCCATATCCCACCAAGGCAGGGTGGCCCAAAAAGAAAAATGAAAGTTTCTCTTTCTGCTTATAATATACACAAATAACCTGCACATAGAAGAGAGGAGCTTACGACTATGTTTCGGTCCGACTTGGACCATTTACACAGTCACATTAACAGGAAGGAGAGAAGGAGGGAGTATGTATAGGCCAGCAGACAATGACGGGAGTAAGAGGGGTAGTGGTGGAGGTGGCAGTATTAGCAGTAGTGGAGTCAGTCAAATACTAAGAAAGAGGAGCACTGCAAGGGAGCTAGGGGCCCACAGAGGGTAGGAGCAAGAACACAGAAGGGGAAAAAAATAATGACCAAATACCCAAGGCAGAAGAAAGGAAACCCAAAGGAAAAAAGAGGAAAGAAGAAGGGGAAAAAAGAATCATGTTAAGTCATGGGTGTTCTGAAGTTTGGAGCATTTTACAATGTAATGGGAAAGGAATGCATCTACAGAGATAAAGCCAGGACTAAGATTCATACAAAGAAAGTTGTGTATAGGGGAGGATTCAACCAAACAGCGACTGTGAAAGTTAGACGTAGGGTAGACAGTTGAAGCAGAGGACCAATCATTAGGATGACTGTGATCTCTGACATGACAGAAAAGAGCATTATTGGTGTCGGCAAGCCTAACACTACTTTTGTGCTCCCTAAGTCTGTCAGAAAGAGATTGGCCAGTACTGAAGAGGACAGGAGGAACAAGAGAGTAGACACCAGGAGCATCTATAGAGGGAGGAGAGGTATGAACTAGATTAGTGTGAAGAGTGTTAGTCTGGCGAAAAGTAAGTTTGATGTCTAAGGAACAGAGAGAGTTGTTGAGATTAGGAAGACCGGAAATGTAGGGAAGGCAGAGGACAGGAGAGTTCACAGGAGTAGAGAGTTTGAGAGAGAAGAAAATCCATTTAGCATGTGAGAAGGCAGTCTATGAAATGGGAAGGGTAGCCAAGATGGGAAAATGAATTATGAAGAGTGGAAATTTTTGATTCAAGGAACTGAGGATCACAAATGCGGGAAGCATGGAGAAAGAGGGAGATAAGAACACTTTTATTGACAGAGGAAGCATGATAAGAAAAGTAGTGAATGTACGTGCCACTGTGCATAGGCTTGCGGTAAACGGGAAAGGCAAAAGCTGTATCTGAGCGGTGGATATGAACATCAAGGAAAGGAAGCAGGGAATTAGATTCCCATTCAGCTTTAAACTTAATGGAAGGGGCAAGATTATTAAGAGCATTAAGAAATGGTTGGAAGAGACTAGAGCCATGAGGCCAAAGAGCAAAGATGTCATCTACATAGCAGAGCCAGAGTGAAGGGCACACATCAGTAGTAGGAAGAAGAATAGTCTCAAAGTATTCCATGTAAAGATTAGCAAAAACAGGAGATAAATGAGAGCCCATAGCAACACCTATGGTTTGGGAATAATATTTACCTTGGAAGGAAAAGGAATTTGAGTCCTCACAATGGCAGATAAGATCAAGAAGGACATCAGTTGGTATAGGGAGATGTAGTAATCCTTCATGGCTTTCACTCTGAGGAAATTAAGGACATCATCAAGAGGGACATTAGTGAAGAGGGACTCAACGTCAAGACTAAGCATCTTACAGCTCGGGAGAGAGTGAACCCGTTCAATGAAGTCTTGAGAGTGACGAAGGTGGGCAGGAGAAAAAGTACCAAGAAAAGGAGTGAGGGTTTTGGCCAGCCTAGAAGCAAGAGAATAAGAGACAGAACCTCTAGCAGATATGATGGGATGCAGAGGAATATAGGTTTATGAGTTTTGGGAAAGCCATAGAATTAACCCTTTGTTGCAAGCCCATTTCTGAAACTGTCATTCTATGTCGCAAAATTTTTGGAAAAAACAATTATTTTTTCTTATGAAATGATAGAGAATCTTTTTCCAATGGTAATGACACCAAAAGTACGAAATTTGATAGAAAACTTACGGAATTACACTCTCGTGAATTTAGCGATCTCGGCAATACATACACATCAACAATTTTGCTGACTTTGAGTCCTATTTTCAGCCAATTTCATTGTTCCAGTCGACCAAACTCGTAGCTATTTCTTCAGAACTCCATTTTTTCTATCAATTGAGTACAAGAAATCGCCCATTTACTGATTCAACTACCCAATAAAGTGGTCAGAAATTGGCAAGTTGGCCAATTTCATGCAAATTAAAAAGGATGCCAATTTCAAAATAGGATCCAAAATAAACAATGCAGACATTCTTGGCACCAAAATAACATATCCTCTGTTCATTAGTCACGTCTCCAGGCCCCTCTTATGTTATTCTTGCTTTCTATTTTGATTTTTTATTCACACAAAAAAATAGAAGATTTACTGTTATGCAGATTACTGCATTATTGTAAAAATAATGAAAGAATATTAGACTCCCCAGTTGATGTGTATTGGACATGTGGTGTGATTTGCTTACTCTTGAACATTGATAAAAATCAAACATTTCCACTACTTTGAGCTCAATTTCAAGGTCGTTTTCATTGTGAAACTAATCAAAATCATCTCTATTTCTGTAATATGTTTTCCTTTCTCTCAAATGAGACCAAGAAAATGAGAATACAACCATAAATACTATACGAAAATACACCTCAAAGTCGGCATTTTAATCCAAAAACACAGTCGGTGTTTTTTTTTTCTCATTGCATAATGCTGCAGGACTTTTTTTATGCAATGCACACTGACCACACAGATCCATTCTCTCACATGTGGGCTTACCAGCTTTCTCCTGTTTGATTTGAAGCAGCTAGAATTATTGAGTATATATATACATGTATGTCCAAAACACTGGCTCGTAAAACGTATATATACGACCAAAACAGTCAAAGGGTTAAGGCAGAGAGGGACAGATGACACGAAAATGTTGAACAAGGTCAAAGTCAGGAGGACAGAGGTTAGAGATTGGCCTTAGTTTCTTGTTGAAAGTTCTCTTGATGTGATCAAGAGGGTTGGAAATGAGAGGAGTGTAGGTACGAGAGTCAGAGAGCAAGACATCAGCTTTGCAGAGGTAATCCTCGCGATCAAGGATAACTACCGAATTACCTTGCAGTGCTCTTCTTTCTTAGTACAGTGGACCCTCGAATTTCATAATCCCTTTTCTGTGTGTAAAACTATAGTTTTTTTTTTTTTCTCAACAAGTCGGCCGTCTGCCACCGAGGCAGGGTGAAACAAAAAAGAAAGAAAATCCCCAAAAAGAAAATACTTTCATCATCATTCAATACTTTCACCACACTCGCACATTATCACTGTTTTTGCAGAGGTGCTCAGAATACAACAGTTTAGAAGCATACACATATAAAGATACACAACATATCCCTCCAAACTGCCAATATCCCAAACCCCTCCTTTAAAGTGCAGGCATTGTATTTCCCCATTCAGGACTCAATCCGATATAGAAAAAAAAACCCTTTCCCTGAACCCCTTCATAAATATTACCCTGCTCACACCCCAACAATCGTGGGTCCCAAGTACCTTCGCTCCATTCACTCCTATCAAACATGCCCCGCACGTTTTGCTGGAAGCCCAACCCCCTTCCCCAAAAAACCTCCTTTCCCCCCTCTCCCCAAACCCTTTCGAGGACGCCCCCCTACCCCCCCTCCTTCCCCTATAATTTATATTTTCCATTCATTTACTTTGATCCATTCTCTTAAATACCAAACCACCTCAACAACCCCTCTTCTGCCCTTGACTAATATACTTTTATTAACTCCACCCCTTTTTCCAAATTTCCACACTCCGAATTTTTTGCAAATATTTACACCAACATTGCCCTTAAACAGGGCATCTCCACGCCTCGAACCGTTCCCCGCTGCTGCATTTTTCCACCCCAAACTTCACACCCAAAAGGTGTTGGTACACTATACTTTCATACATTCCCTTTTTTTTGCCCCCATAGATAACGTTTTTTGACTCCACATAACCTCAACCCACCACTCACCTTTTTTTTTCCCTCATTCTATGATTAACCCCATCCTTCTAAAACCATCCGCCGACATCAACTCCCAATATCTGAAAAATTCACTTTTTCCATATCCTCCTCCCCCAATTTGATTTTCCAATTTTTTTTATCTAAATCTTTGACACCCCCATCACCCTACCTTTTCTATGTTCACTTTCAACTTTCACCCCTTTTACACATTCCCCAAATCATCCACTAACCTTTGCAATTTTTTTTAGAATCCCATAAGCACATATCATCAAAAAAGTAACTTTTGTCAATTCCCCTTTTTAAATTTTATTCCCCCAAAATTTTAAACCACCCCCCCTCCCAAACCCTAGCATTTTACTTTCCCTTTACAACCCCATCTATAAAATTTTAAACAACCCCTGGTGACATTACAATCCCTGTTAAGACCCACTTTTTACCCGGGAAGTAGCCTCCTTCTTTAACACCCCCAACCTGAGCCCCACTATCCTCTAAAAACCATTACAGCATTTAATAACTTACCACCTATTCCATATACTTGCAACATCTGCCACATTGCTCCTCTATCCACTCTATCATATGCCTTTTCTAAATCCATAAATGCAATAAAAACTTCCCTACCTTTATCTAAATACTGTTCACATATATGCTTCAATGTAAACACTTGATCTACACATCCCCTACCCACTCTGAAACCTCCTTGCTCATCCGCAATCCTACATTCTGTCTTA